TAAAAAATAACCAAAATAGATTCATACTTTATCTACCTAATGTCAGTCATTCTTAACACGAAGAATTCTGACTGGTGCATATTTTTCTCTATGCCACTTCAACAAACTCTAAGTTCCATCTGTGGTTATCACTCTAAGTAAATAAAAAATATTTAAAATATATTTTGGTGTCTAGTTACTTGAAATCAACTTTCCATTTTGAACAATTCCATTAAAGTTTATCCTGTGGTAGAATGGCCCTTTGCTTTGTTAGTCTCCATTAAATTGATAAAATACACTCTTACTCCTGTACAAACATCCAACAATGTAATTAAATCATTATTACTTGAAATGCTTTACACATGAATAATTTATGTCTTTACACAGTGGAAGTCTTGCACTTCAGTATGCTAACAGCTTCTGTATCATCACCTGAAATTTGCAAGCAGGCATTGAAGAGACTTTAGCAGTTACAATACTTTTTATTCCCAAGTTTGATAAACCACCTCTGATTAAGCCACATGTAAATGCTAGATACTTAGATGCATGCTCTAAATACTGTTTTCCTGAAGACATCTGAGTAAGCAGATGAAATTTATTGTCCTGAAGCACATAGATACCCTGATGATTTGTCCTTAGATTATCAATTTGTTCTTGAATACTGTAGTCCAAAAATCTTTACAAATGAACTTTGTGATGTCTAACTCATCCTTGAACCTTGCAGTATCTTTTGTAAACCTTTCTATCAATCCTTGTCCCACTCGAAACCCCATGTTTTCCAGCTTAGTAATACATCGCCCATTTTCCACCTCCCCCTGCTCCGCGAATTTGTACACTCCTGACACCATCTTGTTGTGGAGAAGCAAAAACTACGCCTCGTCCGCCATTTCCCTTACTTTGTTATTATAACAAACATTACATTTTTAGTGCTGAATTAGTTGTTTGTGTGTGTGTGTGTGTGTGTGTGTGTGTGTGTGTGTGTGTGTGTTGGGGGTTGAGGGTTAGTAGGGATTGAACCCAGCAGGTCACACATGCTAAGCAAGTGCTGTACTACTGAAATATACCTCCTACCAAACCTTTTCTATGTTTTATTTTGAGACAGGTTCTTGGTGAGTCTCTAAGTTGTCTGGGCTAAGCTTGAATTTTCCATCCTCTTGTCTCTGTCCTCCACAGTACTGGCGTTAACAGCTGTACAACATCGTGTATACCTGTATGTCTTGGCCCTTTTTAAAAATGTTTTTACAATTTAATAAATAGTTTTCTTGATGAATGTAGTCATGAGAGTTGTTTTGCAGTATTCAAGTTATGGTTTTCTTGATCTTTAGTCTTCAACAAGGGTAAGAAGTTATTGTATGAAACATCTGTCAAACTAGTAAGACTGCATTGATGCATACATCATTTTCAGGATTGTTGGTTACCTGGGCATATTTACCTCAAATAACCTTGCCTCCTTGTGTCACAAGGCCCAACTCCCTCACGTTCACCTTAATCACTGTTCCTTTGGTAATAACACCCAAAGTTGTATACAGTGGCAATGAAGGCTTTCAGTTCAGGATGTGTTACATGGGCCTTCTTAAAACGTAAGCCCATTGGCCTAATGAATCTGTCATATTTAGGTGGTTTTCTTGTAAAGCCGTCTCCAACAAAGCAGACTTTAGTAACCATCCTCTTCCATGCCTTCTTTTTTCTCTTTGCAGTTTGAATAACTTTTAATATTTCCATTTCTCCTTGGGTACTAACTTTGGGCAGAGGAACTTCCTGTTTTCTCACCTTTTCTTTTTGTTTTTAATTATGTTGAAAAGTACTTTTGCATGAGACTATCCTTCTCTGTCCAGCAGTAGGCAAGTACTGCCCCACTGCTCCTTGTGGAGTCTTTTCATCATTCTTTTGTTTGGTGTTTCTCTTTTCATGCATCTTGCTAGTCTTCTTTATTTGTATTTTCTCAGCCAACCACTTACTCTACTGAGCTATCTCCCAGGCCCCTTGTATTTTTTCTGCATGGCACTGTTTGTGTTAGCGCTTAGCCTTCAGGCCACATTTTTTTTTTTTTTGTCTTCTTTGAACATTCATGAGCCTCTTGGCTTTCCTTCTTTCTCTTTTTCTCATGGTAAGCCAGGCAGTACCCGTAGTGTTTACAGTGTAATTCAGTATATTCATTCTGGGGCATGATGACAGCTGCAGAACTGTTGCAGGCAGCCTCACATGTGCAAAGAAAACTTTTAACTTTCTGTCTTGGCACTTTTTAATTTATGTTTTGAGACAAAGTCTAATAAATTGCTCAGGCTGGCTCTGATCCTTCTGCCTCAGCCTCCTAGAGTGCTGGGATTTTAGGCATGTGCCATTGTGCTTGATTAGCTTATTCTTTTGATAGATTCCTAAAGATGGGATTTGGGGTGCAGGTTTTTTTTTTTTTTGAGACATTTAGAATATTTGATGCACATTATCAAGTCCCTTTCCAGGAAGTGTTTTGTCAATCTATAGTCCTTCCATTGTGTGAATTGTCCTAGCAGTGAATATCATTTATCCCCATTCTGAGTTCTTGGCCCAGGGCCTGGCCCAGATCTGGTGCCTATCAGCTGTGTATTTGGGTAGCAGAGCCTACTGCACTGTATCACTGTATCAAGGCTCACTGTCCAGGAGGTTCCGTGAGGACTGACCTGCCCAGTGACATTTTGTATAAACGTAACCATTTTACATAATTGATGATATGCCATGCCTCGTACCAGTTGGGCACTGTCTCAAGCAAGGGTGCGGGGAAACTGGACTCCTTACACCTGCACCCAAGCAATCCTGCTTTTACCTGTTTGCCATGTTGGGACTGTACCCAAGATTACTATTTGAAAAAGTAATTATATGATTATTTGTCTACCTGTCTCTTAACTAGACAGAAAACCCTTAGAGTACAAGAACAGGGCTTTTAACTTCTAGTCACAGTTCCCTGCTGCACTAGATAATAAGCAAGTGAATGAATTAACTACTAATTGATGAGATTATTAAGAGGCATCAGCCACTGCTCAGTGTGCATTTTCCTCTACCCTGACTGGCTGAGTCTCTGAGAATGCTCTTAGAAAATGGATTTGTACTTGGTTCTACGTTAACTTGTATTAGGGTTTTTGAGCAAAATAATTTCTATTCTCTCTCCTTGGCACATTAGCTCACCAGACGATTGCCACCCATCAAGGAAGCTAAGCCTCGGTTACAGAAGCTCTTCCGGGACTTCTGGCTGTACTCTGTACTGATGGGATTCGCTGTGGAGGGCTCAGGTAGGGGGCTGATCTCTCCCATGGAAGATAGAGTGGAGAGGGGAAACAAGAGTGATATGGGGCTCATCCTACTTCAGAATGAGTCCAAATGTAACTATTTCTTTCTACAAGTATTTATAAACATTACAGTTCCCAGAGAGAGCATAGGGCTTTAAAAAGGTATAAAGGGATTTTTTTTTAGGCAGCACTGAAAGAACATACTCAAGGAAAATAGTGTGGGCCCTTAAGAGAGATGCATTATAATTGGAATTGGGAGCACACTTGGTACCCACCCCTCTTTATATTTTGAGACAAGGTTTCACTCAATAGCTAAGTTCCCAGGATGGGCTTGAACTTGCAGTCCTCTTGCCTCAACTTCCCCAAGTGCTGGGGTCACAGGCATATGCTACTGCACCTGGTTGTTATGATAATTATGCCAAACAAAGTACCCAGGATTCTAGACATTGTCAGTCAGTGCTCAGCTGAGCTGCTCTCTTGCTCCCTCTCTCTCTTTCTCCTTTGGTAGCTGAACTTAAGGCCTTATACATTTGGGTCAGGCATTTTATCATTGAGCTAAATCTCTTACCCTCGTCTCTCTTGCAGGACTCTGGCCAGAGGAATGGTATGAGGGAGTCTGTGAAATAGCCACCAAGTCTCCTCTGCTCACCTTTCCCAGCAAAGAGCCTCTGCGGTCAGTCCTCCAGTACAACTCAGCTATGAAAAATGACACGGTCACCCCTGTAAGGATTCTCCTCTTCTTACTTTTGCTAAACTTTCTGTAATGATCATCCAGACCCTTTCAGTGTTCTGAATACATGTTGCCATTCTCTGGTGCTCTTTTCTCTTGGGAAGATGCCTTCCGGAGTCTATGAATGTTTCTTTCCTTCCAGGCTGAGCTGAGTGAGCTCCGAAGCACAATCATCAACCTGCTGGACCCTCCTCCTGAAGTGTCTGCTCTTATCAACAAGCTGGACTTTGCCATGTCAACATACCTGTTGTCTGTATACCGATTGGAGTACATGAGGTACATGAACCTCTACCTCCTACACATCTGTAGTAGAGCAAAGTTTTACATTTTTGTGCCACTCTACATGTGTGATTTTTTTCAACTCCTTTCAAGACACAAAAGCATTTAAAAAAAAAAAAAAAAAAGGCATAATAGTGGGCCAGCCCAGCACTTGGGAGGCTAAGGTGGGAGGATCGCCATGAATTTGATACCAAACTGAGCTATATAGAAAGTTCAAGGCTAGCCTGAACTGAATAGCAAGACCCTCTGTCAAAAAACAAAAACAAAAAAAACTTGCAAGCACAAGGTCCTGAGTTCACTCCCTAGTACTGAAAAAAAAAAAGTGTACTAACAAAAATACCTTTTGCTTTTATATGCCCCTCCTTCATACGTACCAAATGCTATGTCTAATAAAACATCCCACATCCAAACTCCATTATCATCCACCTGTCTCTCACAGGAAGAAGGCTTCTGAGCAATCTCAGTTGACAGTACAAACTTAGTCCATGAACTGATGGGAGTCCCTCTGGGGAGCAGCCCTCACAGGGTCACAGGTCACAGGACACTCACTGAGTTGGTTTCAAGACCACAGTTGAGTAGAAATAGCTAATGTGATGTAGGACAAATCATGCTCTAAAATAGTGCTACACAATATTTGACGCTTAGGATATAGCTGTCACCACTGCAGTCCTGACCACTATGACTGCTGTGACCTATAATTGCTGTCATGATTACAGCCACAGCTGACATGAATTGAGTGCTTCTGTTGTGCTAGGTACTAAGCTAAGTTTACAACACTCTGCAACAAACCTATGAGATTGGCACTGTTATATGCCCATTTACAAGTAAGGAACTGAGACAAGTAAATGGACCATGATTATAATCCCTAATATGAACTGAAACCCATGCAATCTCTTAAGCATGCGGTCTCTTATAAATGAAGGCCAGAAGAAGCAGCCAGATAATTAGAGGGAATAAAATTACTGATGTTACCACCATCCCCTGTAGGATGTTACAATGGCTCCTTCTAGTTGTCCCTATCCCCACCCCAAGGGTTCATTTTCAAAGAAAAACAGGCCAAAATAAAATAAGCAACTCCCCCAAACAACAACAACAAAAATATACTAACAATTTTAATGCTAGTGTGTATGACTAGAAGAGATGTCTCCCACCCCCTGCGAATGTACCTGAGTGTTTTCAGGTTCTTAAGGCTCTGGGCTACTGGCAGGTCCCAGGGAACCCTTTCTTAGCATAGAGAAGCAACCTGAGGCCTTTGTTTAAGAATTTGGCTTAGCTTCCCAACCACTGGTATTTGGGAAAACTTTTAAAACAACATGGGAGAAAATGTGAGAAGTCAAGTGAAAGCCATATGCATAGGAACACCCAAGAAGGCAGGTTGAAAGCCCATGGTATACACCATGGAGGCAACTGCTTGAGAGGCAAGTATGAGGCTTCAGACTTATGCTCTGCGGGGAGCCTCCAGAACTCTGAATGGCTTTGTAAAGCAGCTTTCGATAAGCATATGAGTTTCTTTTCTTTTACTTTTGCTGAAGTTTAAATTTTTTTCCTTTGCTGTTTCATGCCTAGCAGAGCTCTCGCATGCTCTTTTCTTTATGCATGAAAGTATTTTATTAGTAATTACATTTTACTGTGAAAACCTTATCTGGGTTTTTAAACTTTTTTTAGTTATACAGTTTAGTGAGTTTGATTTTTATAGATTCATACTTGTACATAACATACTTTGATTAATTTCACACTTCCCTATCACCTGTTGTTCTGCCATTCCTTCCTAGTCTTACATTTTTTGAAGGGGATTTCAATGTGGTTTATTCGTACCCATCCCCCATGACATATTTTACTATGTGAAAAGTTCATGATGTGCAGATTTTAAAAAGAGGAAAACAAAATCAACAGATCATATAGAAGAGTTTAAAGGTAAAAAAATACAGGTCTCACTTCCTAGCCCCTTGTCAGCCTCTCATTCCTGCTTTGCAGAGGCTCTGCTGATTATCTCGTTTTCCCTCTCCATATTCTTTGTGCATAAGTGAACCTATATTTAATACATACAAAGCACAGATAGGCCTTTAGGAAATCTCTCATTAGGATTGTGCTGTGGCTGTTTGCTTTTCTCATTTAGCCATATCTCCTGGGTGTTTTCCTATAATGGCATCTACAGGGCTGCCTCATGTTTTAGTGGTTATGTGATATATCATCGAATAGCTGTGCTTTGATTTATCTAACCTTTTCTATTAGTGGGCATTCTGATTTTCCATTTTGGGTAATGCAGTCAGCACTGTTACTAAGAATTCTTGTGCGTGTGATCCTTGAGCTGAATGCTAGGATAGATGGTACATATCACTCCACAAAAAGTCCAAGTCCCTTATAAATGGCAGAGGGTGTCTGTTACTCATAGCTGTACCAGTTATGAACAGTGTTACCTGGTAGAAAGGGATTTTTCAAGGGATTTTTGGATTTTTCAAAATTATTTAAAGCTGTTCCTCTTATTAGGGTACTGCGTTCAACAGATCCTGATCGATTCCAGGTAATGTTCTGCTACTTTGAGGATAAAGCTATTCAGAAAGACAAATCTGGTAAGTTTATTATTCTTGTACTCTCATGATTAATTGATCTATAATAGAATAAAAGGGAGTAGTACTTCTTTTCTGTCCACACAGAGAAGATAGTTTTATGAAGTTACATGCTACATTGGAAAATCAGCATTTAAAA